AAATAAATAAATAAATAAATAAAATAAGAGGCCTATGTAATTTCTGTTGTTTGGAATTCATTAATGTTATTTTGGAGGCCTGTGAAAAAGGAGGTTTTAAATTGTGTTTAGATTTTCTCCTGCAGGAGGCTCGTTTTATATACCTACAGTTAGCAAGCTCCAAAAGGAAAAAAGGAGACCCAGAACTTAGCAGTTTTCTAATCAACAAGAGAGTAAGGAGGTGGCTTGAGGATATGGTGGTAGGTTAAAGGACAGTGAGTTTGCTTTAAAGCTTACATAAGCAAATTAGTTTCTATAATAGATTTGTATAACTTGTGAACAAATATAATTTCTTTTAATATGCAGTTTAAAAGTTTAAGAGATTATATTAATATAATTATAATCTTGATTTCTCTCATTAATTACCAGTAAACAGAAAATTTTGCAAGTAAAACAATAAAACATACTTTAATCTTACTAAAAAAACCTTTGTCCCATCTGACTCTTTCATTACAGTACTTCTGTGGTTTTGAGAATATAAATGCTTTACCAAGAAAGGTAATGATTACCCCAACATCATGGATTTCATAAAGCTTCTTAATAAATACAATTTAAACTTACATCTACTTGCTAAGAAATCATAACCTATAATTTCTAATTATCATGGTATAATACATGGTAAATTTTTGTGAATAATTCCACTAACGTTAAGTACAAAGTGACCATTTAGTGTGCATTTACTATATGTCTGACACTATTTTAAGTGCTTTAAGTATAACAACTCATCAACAATCATTTGGGGTAAGTATTATTATCTCCATTTTTACAGATGAGAAAACTGAGATAGAAGTTAAGCAACCTGCCCAAAGTCACACAGCTAGAAAGTAGTGGAACCAGGATTCAAACCCAGGTAGTTTGGTTGTAGGCTCTATCTCTTAAATCATGTGAAAACCACACTTCTTTATGAAATTCAAGTATATTACCTCTGATAAGGAGCCTGGTGGGGCAGTGGTTAAGAGCTCGGCTGCCAACCAAAAGGTCAGCAGTTGGAAAATGAATCCACCAGCCAGTCGCTCCTTAGAAACCCTAGGGAGCAGTTCTACTCTGTCCTATACAGTCGTTATGCAAAATGACAGCAATAACTTAAAGACAACGGAGTTCAAGGAGTCAAATTAGGACAGTTAATACGTTCCTAATAACTACTCCCTATTTAAATGTTAACGCAAGAACTACAACATAGACGAAAGAATTTATACAATAGTAAACATATATATGCAAGCCAAATCAAATTACATGAAGATAATCCTATTAAATAGATAATTGCAATTATTACAAAGTAATTTATTGAGACTATTGGCTCTAAAATTTACAAGCCTCCTACTTCTGTTAAAATTTCTTTTTAAGTTACAAAGGATTTTGCAAAATGAATTTATTCATGCAAAACAAAACTCTATCATGAACATTTTAAAAGTAAAATAGTATGTTACAAATGCTTTGGATTAAATATAATACTTTAGAGGCCTTACTTGACTGTAACATTTTAGTTAGCAGTAATACATTTTTATACTGTTACCTTTGAGAATCCAAGTTCCACAAGTAATCTGTCTGCTACAAACTCAATGTATTGTTTCATCAAAACACAATTCATTCCAATGAGGCCAACTGGCAAAGCTTCTGTTAAAAACTCCTGGAATGTAAACAAACACAGAATAAAATACAAAGACAAGCAATAAATGAGTATTTTCCAAATAGAAAGAAGGTTTTACTTCTAAGTTTTATTAACTTTCTAGGGCACAGATCTTATTCAAGGAAAATATACTAGTATAAATTTTTTCAACATGGCAAATGTCCATTTGTTTAAAAATGTTAGTGGTATTACTATTCACATTATTTTACACCCTCAAAGAGCCAAAATAATTTTAAATTAACTGACAAATTACTGATATTTAAACAGGCAACACATGTAAAGCCTGAATTCATGTAAAGCCTGAATTCATGTTGTTTCACAGTAGAAAAAAGGAGACGCTTTGTTGTGAAAAACCTAGAGAAAGATTCACCTTTGCACTACGTTCTCATTTAAAATCACCAAAGATGATTCCCATGGGGCACAGGACTACAGAAGGGAGTAGGAAAAGACAGAAAATTCAATTAGCAAAGAACAGGAGACAAAAACAGAAATGGATCTGGGGGATGAGAGATACAATGAACTCCAATTAAACTGAAAGACAGTGATAAAGTATTAACATACTAACCACTTAGATTTAGTTCTAAAAACGATTAAAGATATCAAAATGCATTTTATGCCTTTTGCCCCTCCCAATATGAAAACTGGAGTCTCTGGGTGCTGCTAATGATTAACTGAAAGGTTGGTGGTTCAAGGTCACCCAGACGCATCACAAAAGAAAGGCCTGCTGATCTACTTCCGAAAAATCAGCCACTGAGAACCCTGTGGAGCACAGTTCTACTCTGACAAACATGGGGTCATCATGACTCAGAATCCACTAGATGATAACTGATTTGTTTCTTCTTTTAAATATGAAAACTGTGGCTGTTAAACGATGCAGTATTTAAAAAAAAAGTCTGCTTTACTTTTAAACTCGTTCTTTACACTGATGAAAAAATACTCCTAAATAGAGTATCCAGGTCAGACATCTTTACATATTCTAGTCAGATATCTTTATATACTAAAAATTAAGTTTTACTATTCATAAATTCATTTATTTATTCATTCTATGAGCATTTGATACATGTTTCACACCCTGCTAGGTTACTGAGAATACAAAACAAGACTATCCCTGCCCTCCAGGGCTAAAATTCTAAAAATATAAAGCTAAAATAATTAAAATTGTTTGCTATGTTATGATATGAAACTTCACAGACAGATCAATGAGACAGAAAAAATTAACCCTGAAGCCAATTTTAGTATATATAAAACCTGAATGCATAATAAAGACTGACTTAAAAACCAAATTATAAATCGACTTACAATAATCGCAATACACCATGTATTGCTATGGATTGAACCATAAAAATTGTCAATATTTGTTTTGACTTACAAAATAGCAATTTCACATGAGACAACTTAATATAATAATGGTACAAACATAAAGAGAGATGTGCTAACTGCATAAGCTTCCCTACTTACCTGCTCAATTTCAACAGCATTAACAATGATCTCCCTGACTCTTTCTTCTGAAGGTCTATTTACTAAGTACTGAAATATCAGGCAAGCAAAGTCACAATGAAGCCCCTAAAATAGGAGAAAAATACCATTATCAAATATCTTTCAATCAGCTATTTGCACACAGCGATGTGTCAGGCAATATGAACCTTTTGAAAGATAAAAAAGGAATTTAATAGGGCCAGAGACTTCTTTCCTTCAAATCTCATTAAAATGCCAATTCAATAACTTATAATGAAACACTTTTAACGCTGGTAAATCTAAGTTCATCAGCATTAAGGAAGAATTAATTAACAAACACAAACAGAATCTGTAGCCAGCAAAAGTATTTTGCAAAATAAAAGAAAAGCAAAACAAGAAGGAAGAGTTAAAAGAAAAATTGATCAATTTGTAAACGTCCAAAAAATTAAGGAGTGACTGAAAAATAACAAGAAGCATTTCAAGAACAGGTGAAACACACTCAGAGACTTCAAAAGACAACATTTATATTAAATAAGAATAGCACAAGATAAAAATGAATTCAGTTCAATGAAACCAAGAATTAAGAACACCATCTGTATAAATCTGTATAAAGCAGAGTTGCACTGCAGATAACTCCCAGAGGAGAAAATAAACTTGTGAAATAGCCCTGAGAACAGAACGTTATGCAAATAAAATAAATGTTACAGAATTGTACGTAATTGGAGAACAGAGCAAGGAGAGTCAAACTACAATAATCAGGATTCTAAACTACAGCACAGATGGTAGAAAGCTAAAAAACAAAATAACAAAATTAATTTTTCAAAATTTCAAAACAAAAAAGAGAAACAGGCCAGAGTTAGAACAATGGAGTTCCAAACAAAATTAAGTCAGAGACTGACACCTAGGCAGAGTCAATTAACATTTCTAAACTACAAAGAAAAAGGAATAATATTGTAAGCAACCAAGGGGGTAGCAACCTGCACTTTAAAGGATTACAAATCAGAGTTGCTTGAATTTTTCTAAATGAATCAATAAAAACCCAAAGACAATAGAAAGGTAAGACCCTCTCAAATCCAAGGTTGTACTTCAAGGATTATTTACTTAGTTAAAATGTCATTCCCAGAAGAAACTATCAGAAAAAAGTCTCTGAACAGCTTATTTTAGAAAATTTACTATTGAAACAGTTTTCCCAGACTTGACTCTAGGGATAGTTCAAATTCCCAAAGGCTGAATTTAAAGTAAAATACTGAAGATGTTAAAGTGTTGATTACACAAAATGTAACAATCTTTGCTGGTTACCAGGGATGGGAGGGGTTGGGGGGAAATACTAAATAGGCAATAGATAGGTGGTATCTTGGGTGAAGGGTGAGACAGTACACAATACAGGGGAACCTAGCACAAC